TGTCTCAAGGTTTGTTTTCCTTTTTTGATGTGTTGTGATGTCGTTGTTGTGCTAATCCTTGTAGATGTGCTTGTGGTAATGTCGTTGTGTTCCTTGTGCTGTTGTTATGGATTCAATTGGTTTTTTGTTTGTTTGTCCTTTTTGAGTCAGTTACGTACCTTGTTGAGTTTGTTGTCCCTGTCCTTCTTTTACTTCTCATAGCTGTTGTATTCCTTATTGTATTCCTTTTTGAATCTGTCATGTTCCTTGTAGATACTTCAAGATCACTAAGGTCTCATGACCTCCTTAGCTCGTCCTCTCTCTTAGGTCGCCTTAAATCTCGTTCTTCTCCTCAAACTTCTAAGAACGTCCCCATCAAGATGGTTGTTACAAAGAGTGGTCCTCCTCCACCTCCACCTCGTACTAACCTCAAGAGGAAGCTAGAGATGCCTATTGATGTGGAGGCTACTGATTTCTCTTTTGAATCTTTGGCTCCTCATGTGGATACCTTGCTCTTTCCATCTTTCAAGGATCATCAGTCCTCGCAGACTTTTGCTAACCTTTCTCAAGAGGCTGTTGTGCAGTCTTTCTAGGTATGGTATACTCCCAAAATTTTTTTGATAAAATGATATTACCAGATTATACTGTTCTTAACTAATGGTATGTTTTTGTAACGCCTTCAATCTTGCCTAGGTGTATTGGGCAAGGTATCGGAGTTCACTCGGGTGTATGATGCTATGAAGAAGGAGCGTGACGCCCTTTCTGACAAATACAAGGCTGCTACTGATGCTTTGAAAGCTAAACGGGCTAGGCATAAGGAGTGCATTGCTGAACGAGATGGACTGAACAACACCTTGATGGAGGCTGGGAACGAGGCTATTAATGCTGCAAATTATTACTTTGGGAAGGCACGTCTTGAGATGATGGAGGAGTATCAGCAAGGAAAGTGTGAGGCTTGGGATTATGATGCTGATAAGGCTGCCTTTGAGAAAGCGTTTCCTGAGGGGACTGCTGCTCCTGGCTCGTTGCTGTTGAGCTTTGCTGATGAAGAGGTGAACTCTCCTCATAACAATGAGGTTAAGGATGTCCCTAAAAACATGAAGCCTGTTGCTGGAGAGATGGTCCCTGCTGATAACATGGGGGAGAATTAGTTTCAATGGTGCTGCGTCACCTTTTCTGCTCTGAACAATATTTACATTTCTTTGAAGAATGTTTGTTTTTATTTCCCTAGTATTGTTTTGGACATTTTATTTTGTTTTTGTGCTGCCTTGTTGCAGCTGGATGATTTTCTCATTTTGTTGCCATTTGCAACTAAGTAATACTACTTCTTGTGCTATGTTATGCTTGTGTTTCTTACGGTATCACAATTGTATTACAATTGTATTACAGTTGTAGTATGGATGTAATATTGCTTACATGTGTTTGCTGCTAGTGTCTTTCTGCTTTGTGGGGATAATTGATTTGCTCCTTGTAGGGATAAATGGTCGTTGTCTTTTATGCCTTGTTGTACTTTGTATGGCAGCGTAGCTGTTGTCCTTGCAAAACAGAATTGGGTGAGGGGTGGCCGTGGGTTTCCCTAATGGCCCTTCGATGCCAAAGTCAGTACTTGTAGTGAATATAAATTGAATTGACAAAGTTTAAGTGAAGAGGAGTACTTTCCGTGCTTTTTCTGGATGTTGGAGATTTTTGTTTTTTTTTTTTTTCTGTTTTTCTTCTTTTTTTTTTGGGTTTTTGCTTGTTTTCCTGTTTTTTTTTTTGTGTTTTTTTTTTGTTAAAACGAAAGTGTAATGATAACTACGTACCTTTGCTCTTCAGAAATGATAGAGCTTTAAGTGTGCAGCGTAGCTTCTTTGTACTTCTTTCCCTTCTGCGCTCGATCTTGAGTCTATAGGCTCCATTGCCTACTACCTTAATGATTTCGTAGGGTCCTTCCCAGTTGGATGCTAGCTTTCCTGCGTTTACTTCTCTGGTATTTTCGTACACCTTTCTGAATACCCAATCTCCTAATTTGAAAACTTTCGCTCTGACATTCTTGTTGAAGGACCTTGCTACTTCTTGATGGTAGGTTGCCATTCTCATTTTTACGTCTTCCCTTAGTTCCTCCACCGTGTCTAGGTTGTGCATTAGTTCAGATTGGTTCCTTTCTTCTGTCATCAACCCGTACCTTGCTGTGAGGACTTCTACTTCTGTTAGGATTACTGCTTCGCATCCGTACACCAATGAGATGGGGGTATGACCTGTGGCCCCTTTTGGAGTTGTTCTGTCTGCCTATAGTATGTTGGGTAGCTCATATGCCCATTTCCCTTTTGCTCCTTCTAGCCTTTTCTTCATGTTGCCTATTAGGACCTTGTTGCTTGACTTTGCCTGTCCGTTTTCTTGTGAGTATCTTGGTGTAGACGTGATGAGGGAAATGTTCCATTCCTTACAGAACTTTGTGGTCTTGTTGCTGATGAACTAGGACCCGTTGTCTGTAATTAATGATCTCTGCTGGTACTCCAAATCTGCTTAGGATGTTCCGTTTGATAAATGAGATGACATGCTTATCCTTGATTTCCTTGTACGCTTCTACTTCGATCCATTTTGAGAAGTAGTCTATCATTGCTAAGAAGTATACTCTCTGCCCTAATGACAGAGGTAATTTTACTATGTCCATTCCCCACTTCATGAATGGCCAGGATGTCAATGTTGGGTGTAACTCTTCAGATGGTTTGTGTGTCAAAGGTGCGTGTTTTTGGCATGCTAAGCATTTCTTGGTAAATTTTGCGTCGTCTTTTCTCATGTGGGCCAGTAGTATCCCATTCTGAGTGCTCTGTTGGCTAGGTTTCTCTCTCCTAAATGATTTCCGCATTCACCACTGTGTAGGGACTGTAGGACTTGTTGCGCTTCTTCTTTTTCTAAGCATCGTAAGAAGGGACCTGCTACGGACTTCTTGAAGAGTACGTTGCTGATTAGGCAATACTTTGAGGATTTTAAAGCAAGTGCTTGAGCTGCCACTTTCCCTGCTGGTACTGTTTTATCTAAGAGGTATTCTTTCAGCGGTTTTGTCCAGCTACTTTCTTCCTTCCCTGTAGAGTCTGATTGAACTTTGTAAACGTTCATAGTTGATTCTTTCTCTATGGCTAGAGAGAGTACGTGTACTAGGGGGATGGCTCCAAATTCTTCAGGATTAATATTTAACCCCAAGTTTACCAGGGCGTCTGCTTCAGTGTTTAAGTTTCTGGGTACCTAGTCTATCTTGAATTCTTTAAATTCCTTAATGAGCTTTCTTGTGACTTTTTGGTAGGCTATCATCCTGGCATCCTTTGGTGCGTATTCCCCATTGATTTGATTTACCATAAGTAAGGAATCTGAGATTACCTCTAGATGTTGTATCTTCATATCTCTTGCGACGGTTAGCCCTGTGATTAGTGCTTCATACTCGGCTTCATTGTTGGTGGCCTTGAAGTTACACCTTACTGCTTGTGCTATTTTGTCTCCTTGTGGTGATGTCAATACCACTCCTAGGCCTACACCGCGTATGTTTGCTGCGCCATCTGTATGGAGTGTCCACTTCTGTGTAGCCTTTGGTTCCTGTAAGGACAATACCTCTTTCTGTGCTTCTTCTTCAAGGGCTAGGCTGAAGTCTGCTACAAAATCTGCCAGAGCTTGTGACTTGATTGCGGTTCTAGGCTCGTATCGTACCTGCTCAGATGTAGGGCCCATTTCTCCATCCTTCCCAATATTTCTGGCTTTCTCTTGATGGCTTTGATGGGGTAGTTGGTTCATACTTATATAGAATGGCTTTCAAAGTAAGGGCGTAGCTTTATTTAGGCAGTAACTAAAGCTAAAATGATTTTCTCTAGGGAAATGTACCTCGTTTCCGCACTGAGTAAGGTTTTGCTTACGTAGTAGATTGGAAATTGCTCTTTGTCTTCTTCTCTGGTAAGGACTGCACTGATCGTCCCTTCAGATACCGCGAGGTACAATTGGAGTGGCTCCCCTTCTTAAGGTTTAGAGAGTATCAACGGGTTGGCTAAGTATTCCTTTAGCTTCTGAAATTCTTCGTCATGCTCTTGTTCCCATTTGAATTCCTTATTCTTCTTCGGGACTTCGTTGAAGGATTTGTTCTTGTCTGAAGATTTTGAGATGAACTTGTTCAGTGCTGCAACTTTCCGTGTTAAGCTTTGTACATCCTTCTTTGACTTCGGTCGTTCCAGGTCCAGGATGGCTTTGACTTCGGTCATTCCTCTTTGCGTTACCATGTATCCTAGGAACTTTCCTGACTGTATTCCGAATGTGCACTTTGTAGGATTTAGCTTCATGCCGTACTGCTTCAGGATTACGAAGGCTTCTCTAAGGTCTCTGACATGATCAGCTGCCTTTTTGGATTTAACTACCATGTTGCCTATGTAGACCTCCATTGTGTTCCCTATTTGTTCCCCAAACATCTTGTTCACCAACCGTTGGTATGTCGCTCCTGCGTCCTTTAATCCAAAAGGCATTACCTTGTAGCAATAGATCCTTGACTAGTGATGAAAGCGGTTTTTTCCTGGTCATCTTTGTGCATGAGGATTTGATTATACCCACTGTATGCGTCCATGAAGGATAGCAACTCGTACCCTGCTGTTGCGTCTACCATGGCATCAATGTGAGGTAATGGGAACGGATCTTTTGGACAGGCCTTGTTGATATATGTGAAGTCAATACAGATTCGCCATTTTTCGTTCTTCTTTCTGACTACCACCACGTTAGCAAGCCACTCTGGGTATTTTACCTCTCTAATCTTTCCTGTCTTCAACAGGTTTTGGATTTCCTCGTTAATAATCTTGTTCCTTTCTGGCGTAAATTTTCTTCTCTTCGGCTTTACTGGCGTATGCATTGGGTCTACGTTCAGTTTGTGAGTTATCACATCTGGGGGAATGCCCTTCATGTCTTTGTGAGTTCAAGCGAACGCATCTTTCTCTTCCTCTGAGAATTCATAAATTTGCTGACAAAGATCTGAATTCAATTCTGATCCTATTCTGACCTTCTGAACTGGGTGGTTAGGGTTCAGCTGGACTTCTGTGGCTTCTTGTTCTTCTGCTATGCTCAACTTCTTTTGGCCCAGCTGACCCTCTGATTGTTATGCTGAACTCTTCTCTGTAGATTGCTTTTAGTGCGATCTTGTAGCATTCCTTGTCTTCCTTAGGGTCTCCTCTGATTTCTTGAATACCCCATCTGGTAGGGAATTTAATGACTTGATGGTACGTGGAGGGGATGGCCTTCATCTCATGTATCCATGGTCTTCCTAGAATCATATTGTATGATGACAAAGTGTCAATCACCAGGCACTTGACTTGTAAGTTGACTCCTTTTGCATAGGTGGTTAATGTGATCTCTCCACTTGTTTACTTGGTTTCCCCACTTAATCCTACCAGCATTGTTGACTTGTTGATGATGTTCTTCTCGTCGATGTTCATATGTTTCAAGGTATCAAGCATGATGATGTTTGCAGAGCTTCCATTGTCAACAAGGATTCGCTTTCCAACTGGGAGTGAAATCACTAGACCGTCATGATGGCCTTCTACTACATCGCTTTCTTCAAACATGATGGGGATATCCATTTTTTACCTTTCCCTCCTATCAGGCTGATCTTTATTGCTTTCCTTTGCATGCCTCTTCGCTGCTGAGTATGTTTGGTCGCATACTTCTGACCCTCCTGATATGAAACAGATAGTTTTGACCATTAGAGGAGGAGGGTGGGGGCCTCCTTTCTTGGATTCTATTTCCTCTCCTAGAGCTTTGGATCTGTCTGATAGAAGTTCTTTGAGATACCCTTTCTTCAATAGGTAAGCAACCTCCTTCACGAGCGCAACGCACTCATCAGTTGTATGACCAATATCTGAATGGAAATCACACAATCTTGACGGATCCTTCTTCTCTCCAGGTCTATCACTCTTTATGGGCCACTATACGGTGTCTCCCATCTTATTCAAAGTTCTAATTACTCCTGCAGGGTTAACATTGAAATAATATTCATGCAATTTAGGTGGGAGTTCAAGATCCTCCCTCCAATCTGAGAATTCTTCCTCGACAGCATTGATTGATCCTTCATCAAAGCGAGAACGCTGATACGGCTTGAATCGATGGTCTCTTCTGGGAAAGTTGTTGCTCCTTATTGACTGGCGATCTGGATCTAGGGTCTTTCTTGCATAGACATCTTCTTCAAATCTGACTTGAGCCATTGCTTTGGCTTGCACATCCTCGAAGGTCGTACAGGGATATTTGGTCAACTCTTTGTAGCGCTCACTATGGTCTAGCAGCCCTCTTTTGAATGCTTCGATTGTTGCAGGGGCATCACATTTGTGTATCCCAATCTTCTCTCTGTTGAACCTGTTAAGATAGTCCCTTAAGGATTCACCATATCTTTGCACAACACGGTACAGATCTGAGGACTGCTTCTCAATTTTTCTGCTACTAGCAAATTGGATCTTGAATAGATTCACCATTCTTGCAAAAGATCGAATTGTCCCATTATCTAAATTAATGAACCAAGTTAGGGCTGGACCTGATAATGTGGCTCCGAAGCCTTTGCACATGATGAATTCTCTGATGTCTCTGGGGATTGAGCTTGTCATCATCTTCTGCTTGTAGAGGGATACGCGCTCATCATGATCTGTTGTTCCGTCATACATTGCCATGTTGGGTGTGCTGAACCTCTTTGGCACTTCTACCATGGCGATCTCTTCTGAAAATGGAAATTTTATATAACCATCCGCTGTTTCATCCTCCATAGGCTTTGGCACTCCGGGGATTTTGGCGATCTTGGCCTCCAATGCTTTGAGGTATTCCTTAACCACCTTCTCTATTTTTCATTCTTCGGTTCCTTCTTGCCTGTTCTTGTTGAGGGTTCCTGCATCCAGAAAATCTAGGTCCAGGGGCGTTTCCCTGCTGTTAGATCCTTTTTCCCCGTTAGGGGAGTGAAAGGTTCCGGACATATCAAGCTGCATGGCTATGCTTTCGGTACTCTTTCTGGTGTTAATGGTTTTGGATGCAACTGATTGTATTTGGATGCGGAGGGCTTCATTTTGTTTGGTGAGTTTGGTGAGTTTGGATTCAGTTTGAACCTTTTCGGCCAAAAGTGTTTCGATTTGGCTTTTCTACTGGTCTAAGGTTTGACGGAATGCGTTCATTACTTCATTGATTTCGACAATGGTAAAGGGTACTGGCTGTCCAGTCATGGTGTTTGTCTTGGTTTTTGGCGAATTGGTAGGTTAATTGATTATCAGCCCCACGGTGGGCGCCAAATTGTTTAGACAAATCTCAGCTAGGATATCTAAGAATTTGCTAGGTTTTGAGGGGTAATAACAATCATTCCACCAATAATGTATTAAGCAATTTAGAACAATAACAAGACAATAAATAACCAATAAATAAGCAATAAGTGTTCAATAAGATCAAAGAGACAAGTTTAGAGATACAATACTGAGTAAGGATAGGCCTCCTTGTTCAGCAGGGACACAGATCCGTAGATAAAAGTAGAATAATTAGCTTATATTGAAATGTGAATGAGTGTAAATGAGTGTTATAATGTCTGACTTTTCTTATTTAAACCTAGGAACTCCTAGGGTTACATAGATATCGAAATATATTCAAAGTATAGGAGATCTTCTTAATTTATTCTATTCCCTATTCTGTAGGTGTATTTTTGGCAAGTATCCTCTTAATTGATATTCTTGATCTTGCTTTCCTTGCTTGTTTCAATCAAGTTTCTTTGTCTGATTTGTTGTGCCTCTTGATCATGGAGTGGTGCCCTAAATATACTGGGTCGTATATTAATACGGGCCCAACAGCATGATGTGGACATTGGCGTTGGAGTTCTTTGTATCGTTCCCAAGCCGCACTTAGGGACTCACCACTCTTTTGGCGGAAGCCTTGAATCAAAGATCGAGCTTTGGAAGCTTTTCTATGATTATATAACCTTCTCAAGAATGTCGTGGTAACTTGGTCCCAAGTTGAAAGAGAGTTTGGGGGCACCTCCTTCTCTAGCCATTATAAACCTTTCCCAATTAAAGAGAATGGGAACATCTTGAGTCGAATGTATTCTTGAGTCACCCCATTGGCTTTTATTGTGTCACAATACTTCTTGGATTCTTTTAGATGTTCATGAGGGCTCTCATACTTCCCACCCGAAAATTGTTTCTGCTCTATCAAGGCAATCAAATTAGGCTTGATTTCAAAATTATTGGCTTGAGTAGTTGGAGTTGGGATTCCACTTTGTGCTCTAAAGGCTTCGGGAGCCCCAAGGCGACTCAAAGGCATATTCTCTCCCAAATTTGGGGGCTTCAAACTCTCAAAGTCAAAGGTAGAAAAAGGATTGATTTCCGAACTTGGTGAAGAACTAGGACTACCTACGTCTTCACTTGAGGGTGAAGAAGGCAGAGTATCTTCTTCTTTGTTCTCTCCCTCTCTTGTAGGGGTATGGGAGTTTCTACTTCTTGCTCTTGCTTCTCTTCTTAGCAATGACAATGACCTCTCGAGCTCGGGATCGATGGGGACCAAAGATCTTGAACGATTTCGACCTCCGATCATACAACAAAACTAAGAAGAAAGTGAGCACTGACAAGCAACAAAAGTAACCAAAACTAGTAAATAAAAGGTGAGATAGTCTCAATAAAGCAATGAAATAACAATGGAAACCATCTCCCCGGCAACGGCGCCAATTTGATAAGGGAATAAACGCGTCATCAAATGCCTATCCCTAGATCAAATACAATTTATACAACCTAAACAAACCTAATACGAGTATAAGGCAAGCATAGGGGTCGAACCACAGGGAACGAATAAACACCACCAAATGTTATCAACAACTAAGCTAGTCCGGAATAGGAGGTAAGTAAACTAAAGTCTAAACACGCTAAGACAAGAAATAAAACACTAAGGTAAATGGCTTAGGAATAGCAATCACTCAAGCATAGAAAAGGCATAGAAGTTGAATTAATCATGAGCTAAACATGCATGAATATTGATATAAGGAGTCCAATCTAGTAACCTTCTAAAGTCAATTGGCTTCTCCTAACATTGCCTCTATGCTTCCACATTATAACCATATATTGGGAGGTAAAATTAAGTAACAATCGATACAAATGAACTTAGCTAAGTCAACTTCAATTTCATGTAGCAAAGATTCACCTTCAATCAACTAACAACGTGCACATTGCAAGAAGATCGAAGAATATCAAGCATATAAAAACTTTAATCACAAATAAAAATTCCAAACCCTAGAACATGCTCAAGGTCCAACTACACCACAACCATCCCCTTAATGGGGAAATTACTCACTAATCATGATAATAACAAGATTAATTAACAAATAACCAAGAATCAACATGATTAACAAGCAACACTAACAACTAAAACAATAATCAAAAGAAAGCAAATAAAATAGAGGAAAGAGTTAGAAATTCTCATTTATTGAAGATGAAAGTATACAAATAAGATGATCAATCGTTTTCTTCAAAATTCAAGCTCAACAATGGTGAAACCCTCACTTTCTCTCTCTAAACTACTCTAATCCAAAGCTAAACCTAGAGAGAAAAGCTATCCTAAAACTAATTAAGAAGATAGAATAATAGTTGATTCCCACTTATTACCCAAAAATGGGTATTTATACTAAGCTTATTAAAATAGAAAAATAAAAATAAAAAGAAATTAAATAAAAAGAGGAAAATAAAGAAAGGAAGGAAATTAAAAGTGATTTGGGTATTTTATACCCTGCCAAGTGGCCCAATCAAAGCATGACACATGTCACTAGAAGGGGCACCTACTTGGACCTTCCAGATGGTGACACGTGTCGAGCAGATATTGCCCCCTGGGAATGGCGGCTTTCAAGGCCCAAATCCCAAGGGGCCCTTAAAAAATGGCGTGCCCTAATCCCTAGGTCACCAGATCCTAGGGAGGGCACACTTTCTAAAAGGACCCTATAAATAGGGACATTCTTACATTTATGAGGGACACACAAAAAAAGGGAGAGAATATTCACGCACTACGAGACAATACGTCACTTACTACAGAGTTGTCATTTTCAAAGAACAGACAGCACTTTACCTGAGCTTGGAATCCAAGCAAATAACTTTACTTCCGCACGTTTTATTACCGAACGTTTACTTACTTAATCTTCGGAGGCGGACCACCAACCATTCGGCAGTCTGTTTGCTTTGCAGGTACAGGCGCCCGTTGTTGAATCCAGTTTCAGTGTTGTAACTCTCCCAAGGGACAAAAACCCCTGAAACATTTGCCGCCGTCTGTGGGGAGAGTACCTCTGAAATGGCTTCACAAGTACCTGTACCGAACCCAGAGGCCAATCGGCCTCCAGAAGACATAGTGGTCCAAACGAACCATGACTCAGGTGACGACGCTGACGTCGAAACCTATGTGGATCCAAATGGGTCCCTCATCTCTAAACGCATCCACAGTAAGGAGAGGCGGGAGCGTCACCATGACCAAGCAGGGCCAAGCAGAACTGCTGGTCAGCCAAAGAAGCCCTCGGGGCGGCCGGTTGATCCTTCCCAGGCGGCAAGATCAACTCCCTTCACTCGAGATGAACTAGTGACAATCCTGAGCAGCCTCAGGGGTGAAATCAAACAACTCGCCTACTCTTAGAAAGGAGCAGTCGGCCAAGAAGCCAGCTCAGGCTGGCAAACAGAAGTCGGTCAGGGACCGTCTGCCGACTCCTCATCCTGCCCCTACGGAGAAGGCCCGACCCCAATTTGACCTTACTCGGCTCCGTTTCCCGGAAGCGAGAACAAGAAAAGCCATCCGGTACATACGGCCGGATGGTAGCAAGAAAACATTCTCAGATGCTCGACAATACATTGAGCAGAAGAGGACCCAGCTATCAGAGTCGGCGTCAACGTCAACTTATCATGATAGCTTTCGAAACACCTCTGTGAGGTGTTCCTAGTCTGTACATGAGACTCCAGCTAGCAGCCCACGGGTTCAGTCTAGTCCTCATATGATTCAGTCGGCCCAGTACATGGCTCAACCATTGTACCAGGCGCCGATCTTACCTTACATGCAGCCTGCCCTTTTTGGAGGACAGGCGGCATACGGCTATCAGCCGATGGACTGGCAACTTAGGCAGCAACACCTTGGGGATCAACCCTCTGCTTTCTCCAAGGAAATAGCTGAAGTCGTATAGCCGGCTAAAGTTAAAAATGTTCTGGTTGGAGCCTATGACGGGACCCCAACCCAGAAGACCACCTGCTAGCATACACCCACCTCATGTATCTACAGGGGTTGGATGATGCCGCATGGTGTCGTTGCTTTCCAGCCACCCTGAAGGCATAGCCCAGCAGTGGTTTGGCAATCTGCCGGCTGGTTGCATAAATAGCTTCAAGACGCTTGCGTTCTTGTTTGCTTCAAACTTCTCTATGAACATCCCTGCCAAAAAGACAAGTCTTGACTTGGGCAATGTACAGCAGGGAGATAGAGAAGGCTTGCGTTCCTACATCAGGCGGTTCAATCTGGTCCGAATCCAGATTCATGGGCTGTTTGATGAGGTCGCTTTCACAGACTTCTTTAAGGGTCTGAAGGATGGTCTACTTTTAAGTATGAACTCGTCCGCAAACAAATCTTTACTCTGCAAGGAGCCTTACGAGAGGCGGAAGCCTATATACAGGCGACCGAACTCTGCTCCTCCAATAAGCAATCGGACCATAAGAAGTCCGACCGACAGAAGGAGAGTCGGCCTGCTCAGCCGGCTCCTAAGCCAGAAGAGAGCAAAAAGAAAAAG